TATGGGTAGGTAGTGCATCTGCAATTGCGGATATTTATGGACAGCGGTCGCTTTCCATTTCGGTGGATTCAGGTGGCCGTTGGCTCGTTTGCCGCGTTATATTATAAAAAAAGAAAGATGAACATTTACATAAAAAGTGATTTAATTTAAAGACAATTAAGGGTAGAAAATAATGAAAAAAGACTCAAAGCGTTGCCAATACTACATAATTTTTTACATAATGGTTTCTTCGAAGCAGAACATAAATCCTGTTTAATTCACTGGGCTGGCAGTGAAAGTTTATCGGTTATGTTGTTGCCCAATCGCTCCGAAAGCTCAAGGGATACCAAAGTTACCGACACATGTTACGTTGTCAGAAAATAGTTTTGTACCTTGACACAGCTGCCGGCAATGTTAGGGACAAACAGCTTTTTGAATAACCCTTAATGCGTTTGTGTTTATAATACACGTGTTTGCAACTCTTACTTTTCATGTGAAATATGAGTTAAAAAGACACGTTTCTTAAGCACTTTAAAATAACTAGACTGAACATCTATTCTAACAAGATTTATGTGGGATAAATTGTTGAAAACATTTTTATATTGTAAAAAGTAAGTTGCAACGATGGTCAGTGGAATGCAACCTTAAGCCGCGGTAGGGGGTCAATTAAACAATTATTATACCATGCAAGATAACCTCGCGAGTTACCTTGTAAGGTAACGTAGGAAATAACAATCGTACTTCAATAAAAATTCTTGAAAACTCGAGTACCTGATGTTACAGCAAAAAGCAATAACCCTAGAAATACAAATCATGCAAAGTAAAACTAAATAAATGGGCATAGTTAGATGTATTTAATACTAGTTTTCGCCCGCGACTACGTCCGCGAGGATTAAAAAAAGAAATTAAGGATAAATAGATTTGGCAGAGGTTAAAATAAAGGCAAATACCCTCTGTTTGTCCTCTATTCCGTCCGTTTAAGGCAACCTTTAGCTATTTCGGTGTAACCAGCTGGCCGCTTTTTTCCAAAATGGCGAAGCGACCGCTGCCCATAGACATCCGCAATTGCAGATGCGTTGCCTACCCTTATCCGACAGAGGAGGAGACGCACATAAAGAAGATATTTCCCCTTCTTATGCATCTCCTCCACCGTCAAATCCACTTCCCGTTCCCATCCTCTCCTTATAAGAAAAGGGTGGTAAAGAGAGGGACTTAAATTAGGCCTCCGGCATCGGCACCACACTCATCAGACGAAACACGGAACTGCTTCCATTTCACGCCTGTTTTCTGTGTGGTCGTGGTATTACACCCGGCGTGTCGGCCCATTCGTGCTAAGAAGTTAAAGCGGATACTACCACTGTTAAATTGCTTGCTTATTTGCTACCATATAATATAAAAGCACAAAACCTATTTTCGATCAAGAATGTAGATTTTTTTTTTAATTCAACCTTTACAATTGTCCGAGTTATTCAGAATAATTACATACTGTAAATTACCTTATGGCTTTCCCGTATTACGTCATCGCATTACACAATAGTAGATGAGAGTGGTGGTTATAAAAACCCGTTCACGCGATCGAATTCCCTCAATCAATGAAAGAACTTTACAATTTTGAGTGTTAATCACATGTTTTGTAAAACTGTGAAGTAGTAAAATCGGCGAAATTATGTCGAATTTTACAGCTGTAGCATCTATAACATAACTAACGTAGATATTGATTTGATGACGTAATCAATCTTTCCATTAGCATAAAATAAAAATAAAATATAGCAAATATGAAAAACACAAAAGCGTCAACGATAGTAAAATTTATCTATTGTGAGAGTTTACATATGTAAATTTACACCAGGTTAGGTTTAACATTATTTGAAGATGTACGAGAAAATAGGAAACATCCGGAACAGCAATAAGCAATTAGAATCTTCTAGACGTTAGGTTCGACACGGTCCGACATTGAAGAGAAACACAATAGTCGGTGTGTAGGCCGGTCTGACGCACTCATATCTTATTACATTTGCATTTAGCACAATTATCATAAGTCATAACGATACACTTTATACAGCCAAATGCAATTTGCTGTTTCGTAAGTACGCTTCTTTAAGGTCTATAAGTACTGCGAATGTTGATGGAATTTTTTAGGTTATGAATTTGTGAAAAATCACTTTTAATGTGTCTTCCTTTCCATACTTGCTTTTCGAACATTTTCTAAAATATCACGTTTCAATAGTTTTTCTTCATAAATTTGAAAATTTACGATACAGTAGAACCTCGATAACTCAAACCTCGGTAACTTAAAAACCTCTATAACTTCAAAAAATAATATGTTCTCTTCCATCAAAGCCCAAAATCTCTATAACATAGACCCTTAATAACTTAAAATCTATAAAACTTAAAATATTTTGTGTTTCCCTTGGACTTTAACTTATCGCGGTATTAAAAACGATCAGTCTCTGAACCTTAAGAAAACCTTATATCAAGATCAAGCATTCGACTTATTTCTTGGCTCATAAAAGCAAAATGTATTTAATATTTAACTACAGACGAGCACGAAAATAAACGAAGGACGATATAATTAACGAGTAAAACCAGAAGCAAAAACCATTTTAATAGAATTTTCTACTTTTGAACCCTAAACCGCTAGATGACATTCCGTATACTTAAACATAAGGCTATCGGCTCTTTAAATTACGGTTACATTTATAATAATTGCTTTGAATTGAAATCAAAATGATGATCAATCAAATAGAACTTGTGACAGTAATTAAAGAAACAATTTGTTGGATTTTCAACGAGTTAAATTGAGCAAACATTACAAGGAACAATACACTTGCTCAGTCTAAATATAGCAACGAACTGCACTCACCATCATCATTGAAGTATGCATCATTACTGGCTCAAGGCTCCACTCTTCCCATCCTTAGACTTAGGACGTCCAGGTACACCCGCACTTACATCATAATCTCTAAAATAACCGTCCACAAAAACCGAATCGAACACAAGGTCGCACCAAAAAAAACTAACACAACAAAACGAAAACAAAAAAAAACAACACAATAAAATTATAATTCAATAATTGTAGTTTGATACGGTCACTGGTGATTTAAAGTCATACGACACCGGCTTCAAGGAAGGTGTCACAATCAAAACAGAATACGATAAAGTTTGTAAATACGTCGCTTCAGAGTACACGCAACACAACCATTCCCTCCATGGTACAACGCTGCACTGACGGCTGACAGCGGGCAACGTCTTAAACGTCAAAGCATTGGTTCATCTTATTCGTTTTCACTTTGCGAATACCATAGGTAAGAAAGAGATGAACATATTTCAGTCAATCCGTATATAAGAATGCATTTATTGCATAAGTGTCAAAGTGACAGGTTCATGAACGATATCTGATAGCACATTATTTTTTTCAATATATGTACAGTAAATAGTCTTACTATTATGAAGTAGTAGCTTTCACCCGCGACTCCGTCCGCATGATATTAAAAAAAAGTGAGTAGCCTATGTGTTCTTCCACACTATTCTCTACATCTATACCAAATTTCATCGACATCCGTTCGGCTACAAACTCTAACAAACATCCATCCACCCATCTAAACTTTCGCATTTATAATATTAGTATGAAGTAGAAGTATTATAAATAGTATGATTTTTTATAATAACGACATTTAGAAAAAAAAATGCTAAAAAGCTTTAATTACAGAGAAAGAAATAATTATCATACGCAAAATAACTGTGAACATATTCTGTTTTCTATGTTAATTTTTATTTAGATTTAAATTTCCTCAGAATAAAAAATTCGCAATTAGTTATCAGCGTAAAAAGTAATTTCACGTAATGACACTACCTTCTTTACTTGAGTTAGTAAAATTGGACATTTAAGATAATAAGGGTACCAAAAGGGTCCAAGTAGTACTCGTATTTTTAACTTACGTACGGGAGGATATTTTCAGTCAATGAATACGAAATGAGAAGAAAATCCTACTTCGGAAAGTTACTTTAATGTTCCAAGTTTACATTTGATGGAATAACTTGAGTCATTAATATTTTACACGTACAAAATTCGTTATATTATTTTAAATAAAGAACAAAATATCATTTCAATCATTTTCTAGTCATAAATAAAAAAAAGTAAAAACAAAATCTCGTGTCAAAATTACCTTAATTAAGTCCAGGAAAAATCTTTTCCTCGCAAATTAATTTTCACTATCCTTCTCTATTAAATGGATGTCCTGTCTATTTATGCAGTTCAATGACTCACAAAATAACCGCAATGGTAAAATAGTGTAATCACTCATATTGGCTTTTTTAATTAGTTTTTTCGTTGAATTGTAATGAAGTAATATGAACCACAGATAATAAAATACTACCGGAATGAACTTTTTTATTCTCAAAATAACATTTAAATAAAATGAAAAGCGTTGCAAATGTCAGGATTTAATATACGCTAAAAGCAATTACCCAGGTTCGAGCAGGTAATGCTTAAATCGTTGAAAAGCTGTCACAAGCAGGTTATTAATGACGCAAAGTTGAAAACGTTCAGCTAACTGGTAACATAAAATTTACTTACGGAATAAATAAATGTTTGCTGAATATCGTAATTATGAAAATTTTATTTTACTATCCAACGAGTACGCTTAACTTGTGGTCCAATTTTCATAACGCCCGTGGGTACATTAATTTTTGGGATATCAAGATTCAAAACTGCACACAAGCTCAAAAAAACGATAGATAGATTTGCCATAGATTATTTGCTACACTAAATTCTACAGGCGCTGTTATAAAATAGCATTTAACAAAATTCTCGAATCAATCAAATTAGAAAAATTAGGACAGTGACGTTAAAACTTTATTATACAGTTGTGTTCAATTTCAATTTTTATAACGACAGTTGTTATAAATAGGAATCTTTTTTGAAACATTTGGCAAAGTTATTAACCATGTGGGTACGATAGTTAGTAAATAAAAGCATGAGCACAAGAGGGGTGATTATCACTCCACCCTAGCAGATGTGTCAATGTGCAAGAATGATAAGTTTTATTCAGAGTCAATAAAAGAATAAAATTAGAGGTTACTTACGAAAATTTATCTTACATATGGCTACAGTTATAAGCAGTTAGCCCGGTTATTTTTTTTATTATGTTTTCTTAACAATTTTAAGCTCTTGTGTGACATGATTTAACTTTTACTTGTTAATTAATGTTTAGAATTTATCCACCCAGAATTAATAACGAAATCGATTGTTTAAATTTAATCAGGTCAACTTTACAAGGATCTTTACATATAAGTTACCGTAATTCAAATGATAATTAAGGTTAAAGTAGGGATAATAAAACAATAGAGTTATCTTTTATTATTGCAGCCAGTTATAAAAAAAACCGAATTACATGTTTTCCAAACCAAAAACAACTTTGAAACTCGACTGAAAGGACGATTACGTTATAACACTTGTTATCCCAGGTTTTCAAATTAGGGTAAAATTATATTTTTTTTTACAAAATTGAAAGTAGAAACCCTCAAATTACAAATAGCCAGATCAAGCACGAAAAAGATATAGCATTACATTTTGCAACTTGTACTGCCATCTATTATACTATTGCGAAATCTGTAGTAGCTAGTGCCAACAAACCGCGATAGTTGTTAATGGCGTTTACGATAGATGTCACTGTTAGGAACAGTTACAACGAAACTTTCACGACGCGCGCCAACTTGTGATCAATATGAAATCTAATAATATGAAAACACAAGTTAGGAATTAAGAAAAATGTGCCTAGGCTTAGACAAAATATATTTACTGTAAATTTGACTAGTCTATGTCGAAGAAAACTTATACATATCACAGATAATACAATAATAGTGCATACGACCTTCAACATAATAATTAACAGAACCGTGTCGGAAGTAGAGGTCAATCACCTGTCTGTATTACTCGTGTGTTATAGTTTTATTATAACACTAACAAAACTAGAACTTTGCCTACTAGTAATTTTGAAGCGAAGTCAGCAATTTTGCTTTTAAACTAAAGAAATAAGCAAAGACTAAAAGTCTATTTTCACTTTGCGACAATCCGCGTCACTACGGCGCTGTGCGGTGCAAGGCTTTTATTTTGTACAGTCGTAGCGCCAGTGGAAATAAAAGACATGACCAAACTACCCCTTTTTATGGAAATAGCCCAATTTTCTTCTACGTAAACATGATCGCAAACAGGAATTATTGCTTGCTACTTGAGTAAAGTTGGTGGAAACCCAAAGATACGTTTAATTTGATTGACATATTGTTATTCGATAATTATCAGACCCTTGAGGAAATGTATGTGTTCTTATTAACCCACAGTGCACTGTGATATCAAAAATAACATTAAAATGAAAATAAATCCAAGGATTCTGATAACTGAAGTCAAAGGTGCCATACAAGACTCAGGTCAATTTTATCCGTTGCACTTCGAGGAATCTTAAAATTAACTGCCAATCAAAAGTTTTAATTAATTCCTACCTATATCTGTTCAAAACAGACAAACAATTTTATTTATTCTGATGAATTGTCAACATTGTTACTTGTAACCTATTGAAATAACAATTAAGTACCAAGTACTGTCTTACATAAATCTTATTGCAACATGACATACAGGAAGTCAAGTCAGGACCGGGAAGTAGTGTACAAGCTGTCATTTGACCGGAAGTCCGTATGTTTCAAATTATCTAATCTCATAAATACGTGCACGATTTGCACGTAGATTTTTTTCAAAGTGTCACTTTGATCTGTTTACTGGATACAAACTGAACAATACTTAAATAATGAAAAGTCTCCCTAAGGCCCTAAAATATGTTAATTTGTTTTAACATGTTTCTTATGGGACTTAGGGAGACGAAATTAAAAAATACACTTTTCTCTGTTCTTTTTAGAAGAGTGAGCGAGATGACACTATTTTTATCCGAGTATGCAACTTTTGACAGTAGAAACCAAAGGTTACTTGTATATTAATATATTTTTTTCTGCTGGTACTTTTCCTTTGAATTATATCCATTCTCTTAGGCCTCGTTACATTTGCGAATATTTTGACAATGGCCTAGATTTACAGCGAAAATGTCTTTGTTGTTTTCAATTAAAATGTTAATATTCTTGTCTTGGTTGATTTTTTTTTAATATTTCAAACGTTTAAGAACAGTAATTGTTTTTTTTATTTTGTCTGTTTTCTTTGTTAGTTGCACAAAAATTTTACTTACGTAACGTTTTAAAAACTCATTGGAATGTAATTTATAATTCCATAAAATAAATTGTCAAATAATCTCCGAAATCCCTTCTTATCTCACTTGTAAATACCGATAAAACTGCACCAGCCAAAAAGTTTTCTATCAACACTTGCTGGCATGCAGGTAATTAGATAATTATCAATGTAATTGCAACTCAAGGCCCAACGCCCAAACAGCGATTTCCAAATTATGCCGATTTGATAGTGATAAGATTTACTCGCATGCGCAAAACAAAACGTACTCAACCAACATTTAGTACATAGTCTTGTTACTCCACAGTCGACCGTTCATTTCACTTCACTCGATTTTATTTAGTTTCGGTCTGACACGCGGCCGGTGTGGATGCTAACGACGCGCGCCCTCTGTCCGTCATTGGGCTGAAACTCGTACAAACAATTTTCGACCCAAAGTGCATTTAGACATACATATTCAAAATTAATGAAATAAAATGTTGAAAACACTGTGTTTGTTGGCTTATGTAAGCCTTACCATCGGCTTCGTTCATGCATGGGGTGAGTATTCGCAAAAAATCAGCTGATTAAAGTATTTTACACGTGTATTTTTTTAACAAAGTTACGCAACGTGTTTGAGGTTAACTTTACTAATGTATATTTAGAGTTTAGATATTATTAACAATTATTAGTGTTTCATTCATAAGATTGTATTAAATGAGAAGTCAATAAGATGCTAAATCGTTTGGCGCCACGACTCCATTGCTAGGGGGCCGAGAGTCACGTAGGCCACTTCGAGCGGTTTTCGTCATAACCCGACTAAATTGAGTATATCCCAGCAGTATGCTGCTTCACCTATGCAACATGCGTCTCAATTTAGTGGCACTTTCCTGAAGTCTGGAAAGCTTATTGCGGTATTTTCAGATCGGTTTCAGGTTATAAATTAACACTTTTCTGGAATAAATGTTTTTATTTAAGTTCTTTATCTACATTTTCTTTGTAAATTCATTTACATGTCATTATTATTTTAAACAAAACACATTGTTTATTCATTTTGGGCGCTAACGTTTTTTCCCCATAAAACGTTAAGAAAAAAAACTATACTTTTTTTCGTAGAGTGTAGTAAAAATGAGATATTTTTAAAAATCAATGTTATGGAGAATTTTTTGTGAATTTTGAGTTAATGTTTTATTTCACCTTCATGTTAACTATTATGCCTATTTGAATAGTTTATTTAACAGTTATGTTGGGACAAATATGCTCTTTGCTTGAACTAATTTGCTTTGCATGTAAATACAAAAATTTTTGCATTTACTAATATAATACCTACCAATTAGCATTAGTTTACTATTATTTATGTCGGTATGTATTATTGCTCTGTGTTGGAAAAACACATAGGTATTCAATGTCTTATTGCCGGCATTTTACGAGCTTTCTTCCGTATTTCTATCGCTTCGGAAATAAAATGAAGCTATACATTGTCAAAGAAAGTTGTTAAGAACCCTGCCAGTGAATTTGTGACTAATTAGTCATCGCACTAAGCCTAAATCAAGGATTTATCTAGATAAAAGTGTGTTAGTACTCTACTAATAAACCGTGGGTTTTCAACCACTATAATAGTTAAAATAATCAACCATTGTTATTAACAAAGATGGACGTTATAAGACGTTGGTCTATGTTGTAAGTCATTAAATCATAACCCATTTTATAAAATCCGATAACGCAAAGAACTAACTCTTTTATTAACAACGTTCTTTCTCAAAGAGGTCTTTATGCAAAAGAATTATAAATATAAAGAACATTGTCTAAGGGTGCGTTCACATCTGACGAACCCGCGAAGCTAAGAGCGGTGCATGAACGCGAATACATATGATCTTACAAAAAATAAACGCACTACGATAACAGTCGTGGATCAAACGATGTGGACGTACCCTTAGAATCATTTTATAAAAGTGCCTCACAATGTTTACAAACAAAGTTTCTTATTAGTGGTATGAGAATAAACACTGTATTGAATGATGTACATACATACATTGTTATTAGTTAGATCAGCTTTCAACATATCAATGCCTACTGTAGATCAGGTCAGAGATCGGCGAATATTTATATTTGCGTTATCTTATAGAATGTTCTTTTACGAGTATTTCTATGTACGGACTTCTTGTATTTTTGCAAATAATAATCAAAATCTCTGAGCTTGAAAAGCAGATTGTATAAATATGTTGTGTATTCAAATAATCTAGATAACACTATGGTCTTTTATGGTAAGACTTGGCAATCTCGGTCGGTTACATCTAGTTACAGAGAAAGCGAAACTTTCCAAGTTCATTTGATATAAAAGATTACAATCCGCAAGTCTGTCTACGATTTAATTATCTATACTTCTATACTAATATTATAAAGAGTAAAGATTTGTATATTTGGATTTTTGTAATTATTGAAATAACTCAAAAACTACTGGACCGATTTCAAAAATTCTTGCAACATGGAAAAGCTATGTTATTACTGAGTAGCATAGGCTATATTTTTATTTCACACGCGCGAAGTCGCGAGCAACAGCTAGTTAACAAATAAAGGTAGTTTCATTTTGATTGATTTTATAATAAAATATGATTTTGAAAAAAATACATTAACGTGTGTTCAAAAAATTCCAATATGTTATTAACGTTTTTCATGAATATTTGGATAAGCCGAGACTCGAGCTGATTTAAAAATAATCAATGTATTAATTTATCATTTATATCTTTTAATCCTGAAAATCCAAGGGATCAGTTTAAAAATATGTGAAATAGATAGTTTATATCAAGTAATTTAGTATTAATTTTCCTGCGACATTTTTTACGTTTTTTGTCGATGGGTTCTAATATGTTGTAATTAATTTTATTATTTAAATAAATTCACTTTATTAAAACCACAATCCCCTGGATACAGTCTTATCCAAATGTGGTCACAGGAGACTAAAAAGGGCCACTATTATGTAACAAATAAGATCCGTTAGTTCTTCCGTAAAAGAAGTTTCTCGATGGAGAAAATGTTCTGAAAATTTAAACGTTCCTCACATTTACTAAAAGTTTTAAAGATTGATCGCAGATAAAAATAAAAAAAAATGTAAATAAAATTACGCTATTAGACTATATCTAAAAAAGGACAAAAATGTAACTGTGCTTATTACCTTACTTATTTTATAAATACCAAAGTTTTGATGGATGTTATAATCTGCGCCTTATACTGCTGAACGTATCTCAATGAAATTTGGTATTGATTTGGATAGTCTGGAACACATAGCCTATTTAATTTAGTTTTTATTTTTTTCAATTTCACGCGGTCGAAATCTTAGGCGTAAGCTAGTTTAGTTTATGATTTAATCTGTCAACATTTATACATTGAGAAATACCTTATCCTTGCTATAGATTATAAAGCATCATCTTGACACGATATCAATTGCAATGTAACTCTTACATAACATCTACATACAGACGATATCAAATGGTTTAAGTAGTCAATTCATTAACTCCATTCCTCCTGTTTATCTAACCAATGTCAATAGATTAACAACAAGAATATTATATTAACATATTTATAATGTTATTAATCATTATTACGTATATTATTGTTTTTAATTCTTTACTATTATACAAAATCTATATCTTCTTACTAATATTATAAATGCGAAAGTTTAGATGGATGGATGGATGTTTGTTAGAGTTTGTAGCCTAAACGGCTGAACGGATTTCAATGGAATTTGGTATGGATGTAGAGGTCTGGAAGAACACATAGGCTACTCACTTTTGTTTTTTAATTCCACGCGGACTGAGTCGCGGGCAAAAGCTAGTACTGTTATAATAAAGCGTAAACACACCCTTTTTGTTGCCTAATAGGTCAGCAATTAAAACACATTTTTAAAAGTTTTTTTAATGAAAATCCCTACACTTACGTAACGCTTTAGGCTATATATTTTCACGCCATTAAAGTTAGGGGGTAAATATTTTGGATAAAAACCCTAATGTGGGAAAGAGACCATAAGTTGCTGCCAACATCAAGGAAGCAAGATTGTCATCATGTCATGTCATTTCGTTTTCACATTTACTATTGATAATTTGACAAATGTAAACAATAAAATAAAATTTTCAAAATTTCATGCGGATGAACCCGCACGGGAACAGCTAGTTAAGATTAAAAAAATTATGCTTAAGTTTATACAAACTGTAATTGAGGACTTATACGTAGCTTTATAAAATTTAAAACGAGTGTTTCTCAAACTTCATATGATTACTGTAGATTCTCAAAACAAAATCTGGATATACTTTGTAATTACATGTTTTATTTTTTGGTAAAATAACACAGATAACAAAGATAATAGAAAATGATTGCCTCTTTAATATTTACAATTTTAAATAAATAACCTGTTATAATAATGTGGAAATTCTTCATGAAGATAATGATTTGTTTAACGCGTTTGAAATCATCAAATATATTTGTGAATATATAAAATTAGAAACGTACAGTGGCTTTTCCTTGGAGGAGTAGGTGTAGCTGTAATTTAAATGGGTTTTAAATAGATAAATTGACGTTTTATGGTTTCCCAAATTTGATCCGGTTTTTATTTGTAACCTAATTTCCTATCAAAACTGGTTAGGTTGGGACCATAAATCGACGTCATCGGTAAGGCCAAAAAACTATAAGTTGATATGAACGTAGCGTGGATACAGTTCAGCAACCGAATTTATTTATTTATCTTTTTATTTAAAAGTTTTTGCACAAAAATTAAATAATAATAATACAAATGTTTTAACTACACTAATACAAAATATGTGCAAAGGCGGCCTTATTGCTATGAGCAATATCTTACAGGCAACCCAGAATTTAATAGGGAAGCTTTTTTGTCTAATGACATAGAGAAGCGTTTCGATTCGGTTCAGGTTTTCTTGATGATTCTGCGTCAAACCCTGATAAACTTGTCATCTTTAACTAGGGCTTGCTAGGCTTTATTGCTTGTGAAAACTAAAATAATGTTCGGATACGCACATTAAATACTGTATTTTATTAGTCTTATTCAGTGAAATAATTTTAATTACAATAAATGATAATGTATGTAACAGAGCCGTTCCAGTACAGTGAAAACAAGTATGGTACGTCAATATTTACGTAGTCGTATAATAAATATACGAGAAACAAACGCTAGAAAGAATAATTAAACATCGTTTTGCGCTGTTTTTTTTTTCCGACGATGTTTGAGTTGAATTAGAAAATTAATTAGGGTTATAATAGACTAATGTGTGTACTGTCCTAATTTCTATTTGAAATTAGACTGTCGTCAATCGATTGTGTAATAAATAACCTTTGACAGTTATTGTCCAGCTATTGTCAAAGACTAAAGGACTGGAGAGTTAAAGTAGGGCACGGACAGAGCATAAATTGTGCTGACCAGTTTGTCTTGCATTCTAATTGACGATTTACAATGAGATCTTTGTAACGAAAGCATATTTTTTCTATTTCAGATGAATGTATCTATTAGATGTTTTTTTTTTTTATTTTAACGTCGGAAAAAATTGAAATTTTCT